TGGAGGGTGAGCTGGGACCCACCGACGAGGCCGACTCAGCTCGGGCAACAAGTGAATGCTCGCTCGGACCAGCGCTGGGAGACTTCCGCTCAGCTTCTGGGGAGGTCTGGGGTTAAGGCAGAGAATGTGGCCCCTGGGGCTGACCTCCCTCTTGGCAGTGACAGGAGAAGGCTGAGTGCCGGGAGTCTGGGACCCAGTAAGCGTCCATTCAATATTTGACCCTGAGGAACCTAGGGACAACTCTAGAGAGCAGCCAGCTGGAAACAGCCAGTCCAAGCCCACTCATTGGAATCTCGGTGCTGATGGCCTTCAGTTACGGTGCCCTGAGCTGCTACAGCTGTGTTCAGGGGAGGGGAAGAGGGCGCCCTTGAGCTCCAGAGCACCGCATGGGCCTGGAGATGTCCCTGCTCAGTGCCCCTGGTCGCCTACCATTCCTACCTGGGCACCCAGCAAGCGTGGCTTCCACGGCAATTTCTTCAGCCCCTCCTCCCTGGGCTGCTGAGCCATGCCTCTGAAGAGAAAAAGGAGACTTTGGTCTAGCGCTTGGACTGTTGGGGCTCCAGTGGGTCAGTCTGATCTAAATTCTAGAGGACCGGAGGGTGGGGTTCAAGAAGAGGGCCCCAAGATGCCCCTGGAACAAGCTGCGTGCATGTAAATGACAGCCACAGCTGGGCCGTCCACAGCCTATTCTGGTTTCTGCCAGCGCCAATGCAGGGAAAAGGAAATTGCAGTTCAGAGGAAAATAGAATAAGTGGAAACCAAGGGGCAAAGGCTTGTGCTTTCTAACATTGCAAAAACTGAAGGAAGACTGGTTCAAATCCATGCTCTGCCACTAACTAGCTGTGTGATCTTGGGGAAGGCACTGCACTTTCTCTAACTTGTTGCATGCTTCTGTTGCAGCACTGTGAGATGAAATATAGCCTCGAGTCTTAGCCCGGTGCTTGCTGTGCCCGATACAGGTGCTCTCCTGGCTGTCCTGTCCAGATGCACTCATAAAAGAGCCTTGCTTCTCAGGGCAGAGGAAATGCGAACCTCTTCTGGCAGGGATGGTCTGGGCCCCCTGGTGGAGGAGACCTAAAAATGTTGGGGGCTGCAGCATTTCTGCCCTCACAGCTGCAAGGTATCTGCTCCTCCTAAAAACTGAAGCTTTTTCCTGCAGCCAAGGAAGATGCCATCAAGAGCGAACTTGACTGCACCCATGGCCATAACTTAAGGACAATACCTCCATTAATCTTCACAACATCCCTGGAAACAAACAAAGAAACAGACACAGAGAAAGGCAAAGCAACCAACTCAAAGTCCCAAAGCAGAGCAGCCATTCTGGCTGGGGAGTCTGTGTTCCTCTCCTGTGAAGGGCTGTCTGAACATCTGTCTCTCCATCAAAGCCAGCCTGGAAGACTGGTAGGACTGAAAAAGGCCGTGTCATGTCCCACAGTGGAAGCAGGCATCTACGGCCAGGGGCTGGTTGAAAAACTTCCTGGTGCACCTTCAGAAAGCCAGTGCCAGCTGTAAGTGTCGGGCAGGAGTGGGCTGGGTGGGGGTGAGGGGAAGAGGGGGTGGGTTGGGCACCCTGATGGATCGTGGAGGAGGACTCTGCCCTCCACTGCTTCCTTCTTCCCCTGGAAAGCCAGATGACAAGGAGAGATGCCTGGTGTTCATTAAAAAAGAGCTTGCCCAGCTCCAAATGAGTCTGTCTACACCCAGCCCTCTGCATTCTTCCAGCCCATATTCGAGGTCTCTCTGCAGCCCTCGCCGCTCCAGCCTCTTCCCTGCTAGACCCCAGCTCCGACTTGGACTTGGGTGCTGGAGTTCTGAAGAGGTGCAGAGGTGCTTCGGGCCTGGCTCAGGCAGCGCCGGGATTTAGGTCCTATTTGGGGAGAATGCTCGAGGAGAGGGGAGGAAGCTTTTGAGGGCGGCATGAGGGCCTTCTCGGGCCCTCCTTGACAGCTTGGCTGTCAGGGAGGTGGCAGGGAAAGAAAAAAAAATTTGACCTTGGTGGCCCAGGAGGGAGTCCTGCCTCGAAGCGGGACAGTTTCGGCGCCAGATACCAGGGGGCAGTGCTGCGCAGCGAATGTGGCCCAGCTCTTCTCGCCCACCGCCCCGTTCAGCGCGTTCCCCAGATCCCCCCACCACCACCTCCCGCCCCACACACCAATACGCAGCAAAGTTCTTCCCGGACGCTTCGGACCTCCCCGGCCCCTCGCCCCACAGCGCCCTAAAGCAGACACTGTCCTGTCCTCTGTGAACGCGGCGATCACTGCGCCAGTCCCGCCGACTGCTCGGTAAAGGCCGCTGCCACCGGGTTTATGTGTCACCCCTGACTTGGTCCTAGAGGAGAAACGTAAACTGGGGTGGTTGGTGCCCCGTCCAGTTTTTGAAGGCTGTAGGCACAAGGGTAGGGCTACCGGAAGGATGGGATTTGAGGAGTTCTTTCTCAGCTCGGGCTGGAGGCTCTGTCTTTGAGAGCAAAAAAAAAAAAAAAAAAAATGTGCTCAGGTTGGCTGCCTGTATTCGACGCCTCCGGATGTTCCAGAATTTCATCAGAGCAAAGGTCTGGCTGAAGGAGGAGGCCCACCTTGACCGAGTGGGACCCATCCGAGAAGGAAAGCAGGAGTTGAGAGTTGACTTGTCGCCCCAAGACCCCGCCCCAGGTCTACCCCGCCTCAAACAACACAACCCGGGTTGTCTGGGAGATAGCTTTCTTTCTAGCTCACGGGAGGCTGTGTCCAGGGTTAAATCCGCAGAAGCAGGCAGCAAACGGACTTGGTGACACTCTCTGGCTTTCTCGCCCCTGAGGCCAAGAGCGCCGTTCCTTATCTGGTAACCGGGAGAGAGGCCCAGCTGGAGCCAAGTGTGAGCCTGGCCAGCTCGAGGAAACAGAACCCGAACCTGGTTCTCTTTGGCCTTCTTCTGCCGAGAGTTTTGTTTTGTTTTCCTTTTTCTTCTAATGACTGCTTTGCAATAATAATAATAATAATAATAATAATAATAATAATAATAATAATAACAATAATAATAATAAGCCAGCTACGTGCCGGTGTGTGAATGCTAGTGGCTGCTTGTTCTTTGAAGAATTTATACTTTAAAATTGCTTTCTGTGAGCCAGAGGAAGAACTTATAAACCACCGTTATGTAATTTGAAGCCATCAATAGCCACTCTTTAAGGCTGTCTTTATTGTGAGAATTCAAGGTAATGATTCTGTCGCTGTCTAATTCCATCCCAATGTACAGCGTAGCTTTTATAGCCTTTCAAAGGTAAGTGAAAGGCATCAATCTGGGGCCCTTTGTGGCCGATTAACAGTTTAAACTGGTTTTCTAACCCTGTCACAACTATTGGGATGATAAACAGGATTTCTGCGGAGACATTAGCAAGTCTGTAAATAGATCGTTTTTTAAAAACTGGAGCAATTCTGAGCTCCCCTGGCAAAAAATAAAACACAGGTCCAACGGGTTGTGTGTGTTTCTCACCTTCGCAAAGAGGTGGCTGTAAATGAATTCTCAAGAGCTGTTTGTGTCCTGGTTATTATTATTATGTCTATTATTGTCATAATCCTGGGAGAAAGTGAACACGCTGACGACACAGATGAAAATCAGTGCGCTGGAGGGCAGCGCAGTGACTCTACCTTCCTGTAAGAAATGTCCTCCCATTACTCACTGGCAAAGATTAGCGCTGGCCCTTTCTTCGACCAGATCTGTCTACATAGAAATATCCAGTGTACTGCAACGCTTCCGCGGGAGATTATTTTCTGTGCCACAAACTAGATAGCAAAGAAGGAAAACCCAGCCTCGGTCTTTTATTCCTTCTGTGCCGCCGAGAAATAGTTCATCGCTGCTGAAAATAGAAGCAAAAGGGCAAAACTAGACAATTTAAAACTTTTATTTTAAAAAAATCCGGTTTAGGCCCAGTCCCCTGGAAGCATTTTTGCTGACGTTCCAGTGTTTTCTGACCGCAAAAGAAACCTTGAACTCCGGCAGGGTCACACACCAAGGCCCGACTGCCAGAGACACCGAGGGTCACCTCAGGGTGCGGGCGAGGCCTCTTCCTTCGAAGGGAGGGGCAAGGCCAGAGAGAAAGAAAAACCCTAAGCTAAGCAGAGGTGACACGGTCCCGGGGCCTGGCCTTCGGCCTGCAATGGCTGGGCATTGAGCACCCCAGGGCCTGTGCGAACCCAGAGGGTCTGAGCGCCGGGGCGGGGCCGCGCGGGTGGTTTTGTCCTTCTGCCCCCTGCCGCGCTGGCTCCGTGAGTTTAGGGCCCGGGCCCGAGGGAGGA